GTTTCCTAGGCTATGGAAGTCCTCTGAGTTCTCCGACTCTTATCTTGTTTAGACAAGGTCATAGTCAAAGTGGAGGTTCTCTCCTCCCTTCAGAGAAAGGCACCTCCCTCTTTGAAGACCTGTTCTTTCCACTGGGATCTCACTCACAGAGATCTTTTTGCCAGAGTGTCTTGGCTTTCCATGCCTGAAATACTCTCATGGGCTTTTCAGCCAGATCCGAGTGCCTTTAGGGCTGATTCTGAGGCCAGAGTGCTATTTAGGACATCTGCCATTCTATGAGTCTGCTGAGTATCTCACTTCCCATGTTGGATCACTCTCCCCTTTATTTATTCTATCGGTTAGTGTTAGCAGATACTAGACTTGTTTATGTGCTCCCTTTGACTCTTAGTCCTTTCATTATGATCAATTGTGAACTGAAATTGATCACTTGGAATAGTGAGATGGCATTGGCACATGCCACCTTGATGGGATTGAATTGGAATCCCCTAGTATGTTTCCAACTCTACCAATTGGGGCAAGTCAGCCCGAGCATGCCCCAAATTATACATCTCTTCCCTCTCTTATTCCCACTTTTATGTTTAACAGGGATCACATTTCAGTTAATTTTCAACACTTAAGAATAACTGTGTGATAATTACAGAATTAAACCAGTCATATTAAGTAGAACAGACAAAAAAAAAATACTATGAGGGATAATGTATTAAGTTGTCCATTAGCAGTCAGGGCTATGCTGATCAAGTCACCATTTCTCATAGTGTCCATTTCACTTCAGGAGGTTTCCTTTTTGGTGTTCAGTCAGTTGTCACCGATCAGGGAGAACATATGGTATTTGTCCCTTTGGGACTGGCTTACTTCACTCAGCATGATGTGTTCCAGATTCCTCCATTTTGTTGCAAATGACTGGATTTCGTTGTTTCTTACTGCGGTATAGTATTCTAAAGAATACATATCCCATAATTTCTTTATCCAGTCTACCGTTGATGGGCATTTAGGTTGGTTCCAGGTCTTGGCTATTGTGAATTGTGCTGCAATAAACATTAGGGTGCAGACCGCTTTTTTCTTTATCAATTTAAACTCCTTTGGGTAAATTCCAAGGAGTGGGATGGCTGGGTCGAACGGTAGGGTTATATTCAGGTTTCTGAGGAATCTCCAGACTGATTTCCATAGTGGCTTAACCAGTTTGCATTCCCACCAACAGTGGGTTAGTGTCCCTTTTTCCCCACATCCTCGCCAGCATCTGTTGAATCTGCATTCTTAAGAAACTGCTGGGTGACGCTGGTGTGACTGGTCTGGGGGCCACGGTGTGAGAAGCACTCGTTTAGAAGAATTAAGATTTAATCTGGCATCAGTCGGTATAAGCTACTTGCTGTCCCAGAGAAGCCCTCTGCCTTGAGTACTGGGGGCAGTGGAGGCGAGGGCTTGTGATGTCTGTTCCGGAGAGGAATGTGCGGGCAGCAATGCAGGCCTGGCCTGCCCCCAGATGTTCCAGGCCCTCCGGGAACACACAGGAACCCTGTGCCTCTGTCACATGACCAAGCCCAGCTGGTGGCCTCTGCAGACTCCTGGGAGCTCGGTTTGGTCCAGTCTGCTCTATGGGAAACATGAAGGGTTTGCAAATGTAGAGCTTCTGCTGGAGTCTCCAACTAAGCTAGAGTAGCTGAAAGCAGGCTGAGTCCTCATCAGAATGGTTAATTGGAGAGAAACACCTTTAAGAGAATCCAGGTGGGCATATTGAGAGGGTGGCAGGCCACAGCCGTCTGACCTGATAGTTCAGGTGTCTCAAGCCTCTGTCACCTCCCTCTTTCCACCTTGCAAGGATTTTAAGGCAGAGGCCTCCTGCATGGGCTTGGCTGTGGTTTAGGGGCAGCTCATGCATTTGCTTTCCTGCAGGCCTTAGACACTCGCAGTTCCTAATATGGCCACTAGAGGGCTCAGTAGGATAAGGATTATCCGCAGAAAGGCTCCAGGAGGGACCGGGAAGAAGGCTGATTGACTTCAGGGGGCAGTCTCGTCCAGAGAGGCGACAGGAGACGCCCCTGACCCCACCTGCCTGCCCAGGTTCCTCTGCAGGACGACTGGCTGCGCAGGGGTGTCATTTTCTTCTTCAAAGAGTGCTACAGTTGTCACCGGAGGCCCAATGGCAAGGCTGGGCCATGACGATTGCCAAGGTGGGACCTCAAGACCCTTCTGTAATGTCCTTCAGCTTCTCCCTCCACACCACTTCCCTGAAGTGGTAGGCAGTATGGCTCTGAGGAGCACCTTGCACAGCCCCTCTGCCAAATTTGCTGCCACTAAGCCCCCTCTTTGCCAAAATCCTGGAGCTGAAATTTCTTTTAAAAGTTTAATGCATTTATCTTACTCGTTTGAAAGGCAGAGAGGAGAGAGACTGAACGCACAGGCATGTACAGGCGCTCCTATTTGCTGTTCGTTTCCCAAATGCTTGAAACAGCAGGGGCTGGGTCAGGCTGAAGCCAGGAGCCTGCGGTCTCCCACGTCAGTGGCAGGGACCTTAAGCCATCACCTGCTGCCTCTCAGGGTGTGTATTAGGGGAAGCCACTGCTTAACTGCTGAGCCAAATGCCTGCCCCCTGGAGGTGAAATTCTCCGGATACTTTCTGAGGCCACAGTTCTATGTGGTGCTGTACGTTGTCCAGCAATGAGAATCATGTAAATTATGCACCTCTGCGTCCCTGTCTGGCCATCTGCTGTCCTGTTTTTCCCACCTGTGAGTCAGTATCAGCCCCAAGGCAGGCTGTGGCAGGCTGGATGGACTACCATGGAAGAAACCTTTGTGTTAAGCCAAACTTGGTATGTGGAAGTCCAAATGGGCCAACATGTTAAATCAAGAGTTGATTCTTTGCTGCCTAAAAGAGATTCACTATGAACTTGCCATGCACTACCCATGGAAAGAGAAAGCAGAGTTAATATGACACTGTACATTTAGTTAATATTTGCATGCCCCTAACTGTGTGTAAACAAGAGGTTTACACCAGAACCATGTGGAATCTGCCCCATGCACATTCCTATTGTTGTCTTCTCAGCTTTCAAAGAAATGCGGCTCTGATGCCTGAGACTTTGCCTGCTGGGCTCTGATATTCCATAGTCCTAATCAGAGGTGTCCTGGGAGGCAGAGAAGTGGATGCCAGCCGGAGGACCTGGGACCGCAAGAGTTAGCATAGCCGAGGTGACTGAGCTTGGAGTCTGAGTCTGACAGGTGCCCGTAGTGGGGTGGGCCACTCGCTCTTCCCAGCACCACCTCCTCACTGCCTTGTTCTTCTTCAGCCGGTAACGGAGGCTCACGGGGGTTCTTGGTCCCATAGGTGGCCCCGTTTGCACTGTATTTTTCTCCTTACCCCACAGTGGAGGACGAATACCCCTGGGAAGAAACCGCCTGGAAGCAGCCCAGAGTTAACGAGCAAATGCTCCATCATGGTCTATGTGCAATCGGCTGTTTTCAAGCCCATTGTTTTTTATTTTTATTTATTTTTTATTTTTATTTTTTGACAGGCAGAGTGGACAGTGAGAGAGAGAGACAGAGAGAAAGGTCTTCCTTTGCCGTTGGTTCACCCTCCAATGGCCGCCGCGGCCGGCGCACCGCGCTGATCCGATGGCAGGAGCCAGGAGCCAGGTGCTTTTCCTGGTCTCCCATGGGGTGCAGGGCCCAAGCACTTGGGCCATCCTCCACTGTACTCCCGGGCTACAGCAGAGAGCTGGCCTGGAAGAGGGGCAACCGGGACAGAATCTGGCGCCCCGACTGGGACTAGAACCCGGTGTGCCGGTGCCGCAAGGCGGAGGATTAGCCTAGTGAGCCGCAGTGCCGGCCCAAGCCCATTTTTACAAAGGAAAAGCGCAGGGCCCAGGGAGGCACCGGAACTTTCTCAAGTTCTCCGCGTTCTTTGGTGGCAGAGCTGGACCTGGGCCTGGAATCCTCTCTGGGATGTGGGCTCCTTCACCCAGGGTGTGCCTTGTTCTGTCTGAGAGAGAGAGAGAGAGAGAGAGAGAACGAGGGAGAGAGGGCAGGGACACCGCACCCAGGGGGTGCTTTGGCGGGAAGAGGAGGATCCTGGCCCTGTCCCATCCTCTGGTAGCCTTGGTTATTTTCCATGAACTCAGGGATTTGCACTACAGGATCTCCTCCGAGGGGCTCATCAGCTTGTGACTTCTATACACGGGTGGCTGTCTCAATACTGCATGCCCTTGAGTGGTGCTTAGGCCTCGGGAGCCCCTTCAATTTTAGACACAGGTCCCTATTTCAGACGCTCCACGGACACTTTTAATCTGGTACAAAAACATCCCCTGCACACCTACTTTCTCAGGAATTGAACTCACTCAAAAGCAGAAACACGGTTTATGCAGAACCAAGGGTTGTGTGTGCGTGTGTACAGGGAAGGGCCAACACAGCCCACATCTGGCTCCAACCCTGTTGTCCCTGCTCCCTCATGGTCACAGGGGTGCCGCACTGGTGCACCTAGTTCCATCGTACGCATCTACATCTCGAGAAAGCATAAACGAGCGAGACTGCCCCATCTCCCCACGGTTCGATTTAATCCCGTGACTCGACACAGGTGTTGCTGTTTTCCCAGAGTCGCCCGTCCCGTGGAGGCTCAGAGAACCACAACCCACGTGGGGTAGAGAAGGCAGCCGAGGAAGAGGAGGCCTGGCCCGCACGGAGAAGCCATGTGCTGGGGCCCACGCTTAGGGTGCATCGCGTGGCACAAACAGAGCGAACTCCTGCCCGCGGCCTCGGACCCGCCTGCACGCCCCAGCTACTACTCGGCAGGCGAGGCGTGGAGGGAAAATCAGGAGGAAAGGCAAAGCGCGATCTACGGCATCCGTGAGGGCTCATGCGGCGTAAGCGCCAAGCGCTGGAGGCGGAGGCGGGAGGCGGAAGTCATGCGGGAGCAGAAGCTGAAGCCGGAAGCCGAAGCCGGAAGCCGGAAGTGCACGCACGCACGCACGTGATGGCCATGCTCGCACGGACAGGGTGTGGGCTCACACTACCTTGGCTTGCCTTAAGCGTTTCCGTCGTCTGCGCGTGCGCGGCGGGGAGAAACAGAATGGTTACAGGGTAAATTGGCGCTCACATCTTGTGGTTAAAGATTAGCAAGGCCACCACCGCTCCTGGCCCTTCCACCCCCCGGGCCGGGTGGTGGCTTCCATCCAGGGCAGGTTCTGCCACTTGCTGGCTCACTTACCTCCTGAGGTTGTGGTGAGGACGGCGTGAATTAATACACAAGAAATGCTAGGAGCGGTTGTGTTCGCCACTAAGCATGGCTCACGTGATGGCTGTCCTAATGTCCTTGTTGTCTTTCTGGCTTTCTTGTGCCCTACCACCCAGACGAAAGAATGACAGTATACAGAGCGCCAAGGACTCAGAAAGAATTGTCACTACCCCAGAAGAAGAAAATAATTCAGATGGAAAAGACAATGGTAGGAATTAATGGATTGAGCAACCTTATTCCATGGGCCATTATCATTCTTTGAGGGTATTCTTTCAAATTCTGAGCCCTCCCAGAGCAGTTCTGAGTAGCTGGTGGAAAGAGACAGTGAAAATCAATTGTACACACAGATCAATTATAGCTCCGATGCTTGGCTCCTGTAGGGCCCTCGGATGACGTCGTCCTGCCTTCTCTCGGTGGCTTCCAGCCGGTGGCTCACATGGAATCCTTGGAAGGCACCAGCGCCATCAGGTGGTTGGGGAGTGAGAACCTACAGGTTTACTGCGTGAAGCAGGAAGACAGACTCTTCCTGCCTCTCTCCTAGAACCATTTCATCAGTTCTGACCTCACTGCGCAGGGTACTGTGGTCACACGAGAAAACATGGGGTACTTAGAGGGGGTGACACTTTAGCCTAAAATGAGCCTGCAGGCAAAGTGTGCCAGGAGTAGCCTGGGGGGGGGTGAGTCTGTCCTTGCTCACCGCTCTTGGGGTCCCTGCTTGGCCAGGATCTGTGCCTGGGTTGCTTTCCCAGCACAGAGACACTACTCTCTCCACCTCTCGGTGGTGCATGTGACATGGAGATGGGCCTTTTGGGACAGGTCTTGTTTAAAATAGGGGCTTTCTGTGAGACCTGAAATTATGGGCTGTCTTTTCCTCTGTCTGAGACACCCAATTACTTCCCATCCAATGCCTCTTATGTAATTTTACAGCCTCTCATTTTCTGCTTCCCGTTTGGCCCTCTTTTTATTTCTCTTGAGTGTGCCTTGGGTCACTGCTTACACACCACTGGCCAGAGAAAGTCTTCAGAGTAGAAGATCAGGCGTCTCCCACCCACCTTTCCTGCCTCTTCCTACTTTTTCAAAGGCGTGAATGATTTTGTTGACTCTCTGGGAGACGAGCATTTATCTGGATGAAATGGCTTGGCAGTTTAAAGTTGGGTACCAGAAACATCATCTCAGATGAAAAGTCAAAGGCCACATGGGCAGTCCTCAGCAGGTGTAGTATAGAAGGGGAGACTGTTGAGCATGTCACAGTCTGTTTAGGACCTGGCCTAACTCACCTTTGGCAGGAAGGGGGAGTCTCAGGCTTCCTGCACAGGGAGCATGCTTGCTCCCTGCACACGGATGTGGCTAAGAGGTTGGACTGCAGCAGGCTGCATTCTTCCAGCAAGTAGGGTATGTGTGAGCGTGTGTGCAACTGTGGTCTCTGCCCTGAGCAGAGTTTTAGCCTGGATCTCCTTTGAATTTGTTAGCACAGCCCAGAGTTGAATTCCCCAGCTGAGCAGCTGCCAGTTGAACTGCAGTGTCTGGGCCTGGGGTTTCCTCGGGTGCAGCCTCTCACTGTGTCAAGTACAGCATGCCCCACACCACGGGAGGGGGTCAGGGCTGCCAAAGATTTCAGCTTCCTTTATCTGGCAGGGAAGCTGGCGTTTGAAGACACGCTCTTGGATCTTCCCAAGCACAGGTGCTGTTTCAAAGACCTAGAGCACGGTGTGGGGGCTGTGCATCACACAGAGATGCCCCAGTGTGTTCGACACTCTTTTGGAGGATGCTCCTTATGTCATTAGCATGTTATTCAAGCAGAGGTGAGTGGGAGAAAGACGCAGAGGATACCAAGAGAAGCAAAGGGAGTTTTCAACCAGAAAAAATATGTCTAATGAATTGATGTTTACAGAAATGGAGATAGTCAATAAGAACTACTAAGCAATTAGCCAAATTATAACTAGGATGAGAAATACAAGATGATTTCAAAGGGAATCATTTAAAATAACTGATTATCTTGCTTTGGAGATACTATCTTGCATTATCATCTTGCATTTAGTTCCACATCAAAAAAAGAAGGTTGTCATTTTGATGGAAGAGATAGGGTCAGTTGTGTCCTTCCTGTTCAAGAGACAAGCACTACTGCTACATCTGGATGGGCAGGGAGCTCACTAGCCTGCAGGGTCATATCTGGAGAGCTGGCGCCTCAGATACAGTAAAGACAGCTGGGGTGTCACCATCCTGCATGGTGTGAGTTTCAGTAACGTACCCAATGGCAGTCGCTTTAGGCTCTGTTGTGAGTGTCAGGGCCCCATCATCTCTCTAGTCAGTCCCGGTACGTTCCCAAGTAGAAACTATCAGGCTAGGTTTCTGTGGGTGGTCCGTGTAGGAAAAGGCCCCAGTGGAACTTTCTACCTCTTGCAATAGGGACTGATGCCTGAGCAATATTGAGGTTATTTTGTTATGCCATGCTCAACTCATCATCATGTCTGATTTTTCAAGGGGTGTGTGTGTGTGTGTGTGTGTGTTGATCAGAGCAGAAATATTGTTATTAGTAGCTGAGCACAATTAAGGGATCAATTTTAAACTTCTATAAAAGTACACTCCAGGAGAGATGAAATATTCATGGGGGGAGGGGAAGGAAGAGGGAAGAGAGAGAGAGAAAGAGGGAGGAGGAGGAGATGACGGGTTGGAGGGGAAGAGTTTTGGACAAGCAGGCCAGGGAGTGGCTCTCACCAGACATAGAGTGTCTGCTAGAAAAAGCCTCACTTGCCCCCTTTGTCTCTCCTCTTTGAGAAACTGTTTACCTGGAGAGCCAGTGATACGTTGCAGAGAGAAAAATGAGGACCCTATCAATGAAGTATAACTTGTTTAAGGGGATAGAAGGCACCATACTCAGTCTCTCTCTGAATTAGTAAAGAAAACATAAACTTGAATTTATTGGTGCAAAAATTACTTTAAATTTCCTTCTTGTTTTGTAGCTAGTAAAAACAGTGGTTAAAAGAGAAGGAAGTTGATGAGACAGATGGCAGGCAGAGAGATTCACAGAACAACAGGTGGAATTGAAGGAGCTGAGTGTTGACAGACACGGGGGGAAGGAGACACGCGGCCAGGTAAGGACAGTAGTATAGCCGTGTCAAAGCCACACACACACACCTGTAAATGGCACATAATGCGATGGCCATGATTCAGCAGCATTGTTTGACCTCATTCTGTTTTCATAATTTCTTTTAACATCCTCCATTGCCCATTCACAAAAATAGGCACAACTGAGGATGCAGTGTCTTCATCCACCCCTGTCGGTTGGAGAAATAAGACGAGTTGAAGACAGGGCTTGTACAGATGTGCACTGCAAGCCACGGAGGAAGGTTCTGTGTTAACCACATAGTCAGGTCTCCAGACATATCTCTTCTGGGCCCCTTTGACCTTGAAAGTGACCCCTCGACCACAGGTGTCATATTCCAATCAAGGCCAGGGCCATGGGAGAGAACCTTTTCTGCATCATGTTCTAAAGATGGGAGAAGATTTCTTAGAGAAAAAGAGTTGTATCCCTCCTAGCAAACAGCTGTGGAGGCTTGCTGGCTTCTTGCACACGGTGTGTGCTGCGTGCTGACCTCTGTGGTGTGAGCCCACAGATGTACCTTCTACCCTCTCAGCTCACCCTGGAGAACTGGGACTGTTCAGAGGGCTCCACTCTGTGTCAGAGTCACTCTGACTGTGGTGGATCAATCAGCAGGCTGAGCTTTCATTCATTCTATAAATGTGTTGTGAATACTCAAAAAAAAAAAAAAAGGAACAGTCTTTATATTCCCATTTGATTTACTCAAACTTGAATGAACAGCTGTCTCATTTAAAATTTTAGAAAAGTCACCAGCCTGCCCCTGTGAGTCAGAATTTGTTTTGTATCTGAGTGGTTTGTACTGAGTCTTGGGAGTTCGGGCTCTGTGGTTTCATTTCCCACTGCCTAGGTGGTCATGGGTAACAGGTGCAATGCTGAGAGTTGACACGGGTTTCTCTCAGGTGTGTAATCTCCTGGGCCTTTGACGCTCAGACAGGGAAGGGGGCAATGAAAAGCACAGACATGAAATAGAGTCCCTGGGGCCGACGGGACTCTCAGGGAAGGAATCCAAGGTGGCTCTGTAATATATTGTTAGATTCAAAGGAATCTAGAGCTGAATGTGACCCTGGTAATTAATTATCCAGTCAACTTGCTTCGTTTTATAGTCTCAGAGAGCAAACCTCCGGGAGGACAAACAGCAGAGCCTGCCGGGGACAAGCAGAGTGAGTGGTTGAGAACCTGACTCATGATCCAGGAATACTCACTATGCCTGTCTCCAGTGGAAGAATGGGGCTCTGTAAAAATGGGCAGGAATTAGGTAACAGAATATGAGTCATACGCTCAGTCTGCCCTGAGTCGAGACAGGTTTGATCTCTTCATAAGCAAGCTATGGGCAGAGTTAAGAAGCTGCTTTAACCTCTGCAATAAAGTAAGACACAAATGGTAGGTGGGGTCTGCCTCCATCTGGGTCATGGATCCCCACATTTGAATAAACTATGGGTCCTCTTAAAGGAATTCTCTTTGACCTGCAGAAGCAAAAATCTTATTCTTTGAAATGACTTTCAACTGAGAATGCTTGCCATAAAAGGGCAAGTTTTCTGTTTATAATTGGTAAGATGAAAACATAAAATGGAAAACATTGTTATTAAACCCCGGCTCCACCTTCCCGCTCATTGCCTGAGTATGTCCTGGAAATCCAATTTGAGAGATGTTGTCCTAGCTCTGAGTTCACCTCTGTCCTCTTCTCTGGGCCCATTAACGAGCTGCTTC